CATTCTATTTAAAGACAATAATGCTTAAATATCACATTTTCTCTATTTCTGTTCTATCCTTTAAAAATTGCTACCCAGACCATTAACATGAGAACAGATTATTCTTCCAAGCTCTAAAATTCTTTAATTTTCATTTGAGTTCCTGATTGGTTGCCGCATTTCCTAGCCTTTCCTCACTTGAGGTCGCCCACTGCTTGAGGTCACAGGTTCACACATCATTTTTTGAGGCAGCCCCAGAGTGCTGGTGACAGTTTTCAGTTTTTACTGGAGAGTAAGAGCCATAGAACTGGATGACATGTGAGAATAATTAGGAACTATGGGGTGTGGAGGGCAATGCCCTTGACATTAAAACTGAACTTAAAGAAAGAAAGAAGACTGGGAACCTGTGAGAGAGCTGTGTTAATTACCAGTCAGCCCGAGATGGACTCTGGGGAGTTGGCTGGGGAGGGGATGCTGACGCTGCTGGTCAGGCATCTCTGTGGATTAGTATGTTCTCTTGTTTTATTTCTTAAAGTTTTTCTAGTGAATTGAGTCTTTTTCTTTTTATTGAGGTATAAGTGACATATAGCTTCAGGTGTGCAGGGTACCGACTTGATACTCGTGTGTGTTGTGAGACGGTCACCGCAGTGAGTCTAGCACCTCCCACAGCTGCGGTTTTCTGTGATGAGAACTGTTAGACCTGCTCTCTTAGCAACGTTCAGATATGTAGTCAGTATTGTTAACTACAGTGACCACGCTGTACGCTGCACCCCCAGAACTCAGTGATTTTATAATGGGAAGTTCACACCTTTTAGCCTCCTTCACCCATTTTGCCTCCCCGACCCACCCCCTGCCTCTGACAACCACCCATCTGTTCTCTCTGTGTGTGGATCCTTTATTTTAAAGATTCTGCAAGTAAGTGAGACCATGCAGTATTTGTTTCCCTATCTGACTTAGATCAGTTCATGTGATGTTGTCTAATCTCTTTACAAAGTCCTCAGGAAGGAATTAGATGATTCTTCCATTTTTTTTTTTTTTTTATGTTTAATTTTAAGTTTTTATTTATTTAAATTTTTTTTTTCCTTTAATGATTTTAGAGAGAGAGAGAGAAACATCGATGAGCGAGAACATTGATTGGCCGCCTCCTGCATGCCTCCCACTGGGGATCGGGCCCACAACCTGGGCATGTGTCCTGACTGGGAATCGAACCAATGACCTTCTGGTGCGTGGTCGACACTTAACTGCTGAGCCACACTGGCCGGATGTTTGATGTTTAATTTTTAAACCGTACCAAGTTAGTTAGTAGTGTGAATTCATTTAGTCATGAAGTTATTAGGCAGGTCGTTTACAATCCTCTTACGTAGAATTAAGGCGGAGGGAGCGAGTGGTAGGGAGGACCTGTATGTACATGTGGGGGGGCCCATATTCATATTCGGTGATGTTTCCTTAATGTTGCATGCAAGAGCGCTTGTGCCGTTTGAGGAAAATTACCGTGGCATTTGCTCATTCTTATTTTTGAGAACGCTGCATCTGCCAGTTCAGAGCTGTCGTAACCAGTTTTCTTACCAGCCGTGAGAAGGCGGACGTGACATCAGATCACAGAGAGGAGGCAGGAGCTGACTGGCCGCTGCTCATTAAGGGATGACGGGTGGGCTCCTGGGCTCCTGTGGCTTCTTCTCAGCGGGGACCTGAGGCCCCGGCGCCCCTTTGGCCAGGTTCTGTGAGGGCACGGTTTCCACTTGCCATCCTGTTTGGCGGTGCTGGGGTGGTGCCATTTGTGGGCTTTCATCCACGTATCCAGGAAGCTGGCATGGTGCCACCTAAAGAAAAATGGGGTTCTACAAACGGTCAGCTGCTTTGCCCAACTCAGAAGGGGACAGAGACTGAGGGCTGGATGGGCCGTTCAGGCCTGTTCCCTTCCCATCGTGTTTGGACATGGGCCTGCGGCCGGGCCCGGGTCATTCCAGCTCCTGCACCAGTCTGTGCCCTTGTGGTTTCCTGCACCGGGCTTCCTACTCTGCCTTTTAAAGTCATCCGTGTTAATGCTTCTCCCTGTACTACAATACTTTAGAACTTAGTTCTAATCTATTTTACTTAAAAACAAATTCTTTGATTGTTTTGAGGTGTTTTATTTTTATCACAATATGAACAACATAAGTATTTTAGTGGTATTTTCGAATGGAAGGCGCTCTCGAGACCACTCTGTACTTGGTAGTACTTAGGAGTGAAGGTGCCGCCGTAAAGCTGTCGCTGAGAGTCCCTTTGGGGAGCCCCGGCAGCTGGAAAACCTGCCAGGGAGAGTTGGCAGCAGGGATCTGCTTCTGTCGAGACTTAAGTTTGTTGAGCAGCTGCCATGTCAAAGAGCTTTTGGCTTGGACACCGGATTGTCAGTGGCACCCGTAAAATGTGTGCACGGATGTATAATGATGGGGTTGGGGCAGGTATCTTGCCCGGGAGGCTCTGGTTTTGACAGTAATTTTCCACTCATGTGTTCACGGCCAGGCAGGCTGTGTGACTGAGGAGGTGTGCTCATTGAATTCGCTGTCTACGGTCTTTAATTAAATATAAATACGGTCTCTTAGAACATTTTAAAGTTGGTCAGGACTACATAGAAATCAAACTCAAACTGAAGAAACCCAAAAAGATCATCAGTAGGTTCAAGTGATTGAAACATTCCGTGGATAGAACCGGTTCCAGGCCCAGTGGAGTCAAGAGCTCTGTGCTCAGGAGTCCTTCTTTCCCACGCCTGTTCCTGCGTCCAGGCGGGTGTCCCCGTTCTCAGTCACACCGACAAGGTGAACCCCACAGTTCCAGGTTTATGTTCTGTCACTTGAGCACATCGAGGATCAGAGCCCCAGTGTTGGGGGTCACCCTTCCCGGAGGGCTGTCATAGGCCTGACTGGGCTCCCGTGTGCTCCCTGATTGGCTGTGGCAGAGGAGGTGGCGCGCTCATCGGGCGAACCTGAGTCACGTGTGAGGGGCGGGTTGGCCCCTGCACAAATGGGATGGTTTCAGCGGTGTGGTTCCCAGAGGAGCCCAGTGCCATTAGCAGAAGACGCGGGCGCAGACCCCAGACGTGGGAAGCCAGTGGCTGTCCACACGGGCTGCTGCGCTTACCTGACACGAGCACTTCAAAAGTCACAACAGGATTCTCAGCAGCTTTCTTGGGGAAAGGTTTGGTGAACTCTGAGTTTGCTGCGGCGTTCATGCTCCTGGGCAGGCCTCATAGTAAAATTCAGCGTACAGTCATCTATTTTTAAAGACTTCTATTTCTTGTTTTAAAAATCATGCTTATTTTTGGCAATATATTGGTGTTCTCTATTTCTGTAAGACATTTGTGGAATAAAGACTGTCTTTTTACTATTGCCTGCTGAACAATGAGAAAGTTAGAGATGTCAGGAGATGTGGATGCTCAGAAGAGAGGCTTCCAGATTTGCTGAGTGTTCTGGAAGCAGCAGTTACCAGGGGAACTTACAAATCATGTAGCAGTCTGGTGCAGTAAGTCACATACCATTTCGCAGAGAGACATCAGGCAAGAAGTTGTATTCATATCTCAGTCGTCACTTTTTCAGTTGCCAGGAAAGGGTTTGATAGTGGCCTGAATTGTATGGGGAGCAACTATAACTCAGAATCGTCTGTGATGCCTTCAGCACGGATTCTAAGTGGAAGAGCTGAGACGCGGTTGTCTCTTCTCTTTCTGAGCGCCAAGGGCAGACCCGGGTCTGTTCTGTGCACGGGCTCCTCCGGTCCTCAGCGGTCGGCCAGGCCCTGAAGTGTCCTTAGGTTTCCTCGGGTACGAAGCTGCCCTGGGAGCAGGCGGCGTGTCGTGAACCCGCACTCGTGTTTTCCACTGGGGTAAGCAAGCTGCCATCAGGAGAACCGTCTGCTCCTGCGAGAGACCCCCGCAAAGAGACCCCCACATTTTCCTCTCAAAGCCTGTAAGAGCCCTGGAGAGTTCTTATTCTGTTTGGCTGGTTGGAATTTATCTTTTGCCAACTGAATTGCTGTTATTCTCTATGCTTTGGTGAAAACTGAGGGAAGTCAGCAATATTATACCTCTATTACCATCATTATTTTCAGAAGAAGTAGAGTTGTTCTTTCGTTCTTATGCCAACAGGTAAGATTCCCAAACTGCCATGAGTTGGGAACATATATAATGGAAAATATTTTTGTCTTATTAAATATAGAATAAATCAAAAACATTATTTGTAATGAAAGAGAAGAGCTGGTGAGGTCCAGTTCTTACCAACCTCAGAGGTGAATATTGGTGTTTAAACTCTACACCTTTGTTTGACCCTGAACGTTCGTCAGGTGGTGAAAGGCACAGTGAGCTAGAAGGTTGTCCTTGTTCAGACACCAAGTTCTTGGGGACCCCTGCCCACTTCACGGGGATCTCTGAGTTTATTTCAGAAGAGCGTTCTGAAAACTCATTTGTTAATGCCTGGTATTGACCATTTTGCTGATAGATATTTTTGAGTTTAACTATTTTAAAAGAAACTATGGTAATACCCAAGCAATTACCCATGGGTAATACCCATGCCCACTGCATTACTCGTAGGTAGCTGATTGAAATGTTGCTTGAGTACCTGGTTTAAGCCAGGCCACATTCGTAGATAACGTGATGCAGAGGTGTGAGACATGGGTCCTGATTAGTGGAGCTTGAAGCCAGTCGTGGAGGGGGCTGCTGGGTAAACCAGAAATTCAGAGTATAAGGCAACGGCCCTGGTGGGTGTAGACAGGCTGTGGACACGGAGGAGGCACTCTGCCCAGAGACGGGCTGAGGCTGGCCGGGGTGCTGGACGAGGTGTTGGAGAGGGTCCTGCTGGACTGTGTGTTGAGAATCCATCCGGCCAAGTAGACAACGAGGAGCAGAAGGAGAGCAATGCAGAGACGCGGAACTTCACGGTGTCTGGGGGTAGAGGTGGGCAGCAGGCGGAGGAGGACAGGTAAGAAACCATATGTAGAATATGTTGAATTTGAGCTATAATAATTCTTAATGCTGTTTTCTCTTTTTGATTCAGGTGAAAAAAGTATTAATGGCCAGATGCCTTAAGGACAAGGGCGGAGGTGTACAAAGATATTACAGCTGAGACACATACTCTGGAGCGACCATACTCTGAAGATGTTGTTTGCTTTTGGTTAACAAGAGAAAATGCAACTATAGAGGAAGGCTTTTATCTCTGCTTTAATACCGTGTTGTAAATAACAATGTAACTGGATTTACATCCGTCTTTCTGCTGAGACGGGGAACCCTTGACTGAGGGAGACATGAGTGACTCAAGGCCGTCACAGGAAGAGAAGCACAAGCTCGGCAGGGCCTCCTCCAAGTTCAAGGACACTCCCAGAGTCATGCAGTCTGATGATTATTTTGCTCGGAAATTTAAAGCCATTAACGGCAGCATGGGACCCGCCACTTCTTTAAATGCCTCAAATTCGGAGAGTGGTGCTCCAGCCAATGGTACCCCAGCTATGCCCAAGATGGGTGTGAGAGCCAGGGTGTCTGAGTGGCCTCCTAAAAAGGACTGCTCCAAGGAGCTGGCCTGCAAGGTGCTGTGGGGAAACCAGTCTCAGACCAGTTATGACAGTGTCACCTCCATCATGCACAATGGGCAGAATGACCAGAGCGACGGTCAGCCCAAGGAGCAGCTTGATCTCGACTTTGTGGAGGCAAAGTACACAATTGGAGACATCTTTGTTCACTCTCCTCAAAGAGGACTTCACCCCATAAGACAGAGAAGCAATAGTGATGTCACCATCAGTGACATCGATGCTGAAGACGTCTTAGACCAAAATGCCGTGAACCCCAACACCGGAGCCGCGCTTCACCGGGAGTACGGGAGCACGTCTTCCATCGACCGGCAGGGCCTGTCTGGTGAGAACTTCTTTGCGATGCTCAGAGGATACCGAGTAGACAGTTATGACCACAAAGTGATGGCCCCTTTTGGGTTCCCGGAGTTTTTCTCCTGCGACCCTGCCGTCTCCCCCAGCCTTCACGCCGCAGCACAGATTTCTCGGGGAGAATTTGTCCGCATCTCAGGATTAGATTACATGGACAGCGCCCTCCTCATGGGCAGAGACAGGGACAAGCCTTTCAAACGGAGGCTAAAGTCGGAGTCAGTGGAAACGTCTCTTTTCCGAAAGCTGCGAACTGTTAAAAGTGAACATGAGACTTTCAAGTTCACGTCTGATCTGGAGGACGGTCGTCTCGAGCGGGGCATTCGCCCTTGGAATTGTCAGCGGTGTTTTGCACATTATGATGTCCAGAGCATTTTGTTTAATATCAATGAAGCCATGGCCACGAGGGCTAACGTGGGGAAAAGGAAGAACATGACCACCGGGGCCTCTGCAGCATCCCAGACTCAGGCGCCAGGGGGCCAGGCAGGCAGCTGTGAGTCCCCCCTGGGCAGCAAGGAGGACCTCAACTCAAAGGAGAACCTGGATGCTGATGAGGGGGATGGGAAAAGTAATGACCTCGTCCTAAGTTGCCCTTACTTTAGAAATGAGACAGGAGGGGAAGGGGACAGGAGGATTGCCCTGTCTAGGGCCAACTCGGCATCTTTCAGCTCCGGGGAAAGTTGCTCCTTTGAATCCTCTCTCAGCTCTCACTGCACCAATGCGGGCGTGTCTGTCTTGGAAGTGCCCCGAGAGAACCAGCCGATTCACAGGGAGAAAGTGAAGCGCTACATCATAGAGCACATTGACCTTGGGGCCTACTATTACCGCAAGTTCTTCTATGGGAAAGGTAAGGAGGGCCCTGCCTGCCTGCGTGTGTACCCGGGGAGAATTCTCCAGGGCCAGTTGTAAGTGCTGCTTGGTGACGCAGCACCTTCCCCGTAGTGCCCAAGGCCACTGTCCCCGGGGCTGGTTCTCCATTGCTCCAGACTAATCCCTTCCTAAGAAATCCTGTTTCCTGCCTTGGCTGATTGTGATCCCCAGTGTGGAAATGCCTTCTTTCTTTCTCTTGGTCAGTTTGTGAGCATCACAAGTGTCAGATTTGATGGAGATCGACTCTTATTAGGACGTCTTCCCTGATTAACTCTGTCCTCTGATTCCTCTGAGTGATCTCTTACACTGTTTACAATGGATGATTCTGTGGTGTTTTCCTCTAGTCTTTCCTGTGTTTTCCTCTAGTCTTTCCTGTATTTTCCTTAGTCTTTCCTGTGCATTTCCTCTAGTCTTTCCTGTGCATTTCCTCTAGTCTTTCCAGTGCATTTCCTCTGGTTGTTTCTGTGTTTTCCTCTAGTCTTTCCTGTATTTTCCTTAGTCTTTCCTGTGCATTTCCTCTAGTCTTTCCTGTGCATTTCCTCTAGTCTTTCCTGTGCATTTCCTCTAGTCTTTCCTGTGCATTTCCTCTAGTCTTTCCTGTGCATTTCCTCTGGTTGTTTCTGTTTTCCTCTAGTCTTTCCTGTATTTTCCTTAGTCTTTCCTGTGCATTTCCTCTAGTCTTTCCTGTGCATTTCCTCTAGTCTTTCCAGTGCATTTCCTCTGGTTGTTTCTGTGTTTTCCTCTAGTCTTTCCTGTATTTTTCTTAGTCTTTCCTGTGCATTTCCTCTAGTCTTTCCTGTGCATTTCCTCTAGTCTTTCCTGTGCATTTCCTCTAGTCTTTCCTGTGCATTTCCTCTGGTTGTTTCTGTGTTTTCCTCTAGTCTTTCCTGTATTTTCCTTAGTCTTTCCTGTGCATTTCCTCTAGTCTTTTCTGTGCATTTCCTCTAGTCTTTCCGGTGCATTTCCCCCCACTTTGTCTCATCATTTCAGTTGTATGTCTTCACAGCAGCTCCTGCCTTGTTGTATTAGAAGTTAAGTAAATCTTTGTTGAAATAATGTATAATTAGCATGATAGATAAATTCAGTTTTCTTCTAGTTCTGCAGATGGGCTTAAAGGGTAGGATAAAATAAGTCTTTGATGGTGAGATTTGATAAATTCTTTAATCATTGGTAAGATAAATTATGTTTAGTTTTATTTATATCTGTAGGCTTGAAGGATGCATTCCTTAGAAGTCATGTAGTGAAATTCTCAAATTGTAGTTCGAACCCTTTAAATAAGTGGCCTCAGTTATCCCGGGGACAGGAGAATCCGCTGTGTTTGAGAGACCCACAGAGAACCAGGCCCCACACGGGCAGGAGCACACGGGAAATGAGAGCACCCAGGCTCACGGCCGTGGCCTTCTGGGCTGCAGCTCCCCTCTTCCCTTCCTTACAGGACAGCATACTGTCCACGACTGTGTTTTTCTGTTCCCAGGTTCACCTGTCCCCCTTCCCAGGTGTCACCCTTAGAGCACCTATGGCGGCCAAAGTGATCCCAGCCTGTCTGTCTCTCCTCCTGCTACGCCTTCTTGAGGAAACTTCTGTCTCTAGTGTGGACAGTTGTGAGCTGGTGGCACCTTTGAATGTCTTTAGTCTTGGTTTCCACCTTCAGTGTATAGTCTTTGACTCCAGTTGTTTCTTTGGTGGGGGTGGGTAGGGGTGTAACTCCGACCTCAGGAGGTCACTCCATCCACCTTGGTCCTTGGAACTTTTTTCATGCTTTTTCCTATGGACTACAGACTCAGAAGCATTTTCTTTCCAGATAAATGCAATAATTAAATTAATAGTTTCTCCCCATTTTTGCATCAGTCCAGATTTCACCAGCCGCTCAGAATCAGAGCGATATGCAATCGTATGAATCCATGGGATGATGGTGACTCAGGTGGGTGATGCAGCTGAGGGGCCTGGTACGGGCATCGTGACTTCACGTCGTTTTTCCTATTCTCATACTGATGACAGAATGGGACTGAAGTGATGTCAACAGGTCTCCGTGCCCAGCTGTGTGGCCCCTGCGCCCCACCTCCCTCCTGGCTTCTGGTGTGCATCAGTATTATCGTTTTGAGCTACAGCCTTCCAGCCAGTGAGTTCAAGAACCTTGGACCTTTTCCGTCTGTGCTGGGCAGTGACTCATGGCCCACGTGACTGTTCCTCCAGGGGCGGCACATTAAACACAGCTCAAGCGTGGTCTCCAGGTGGAAGTGAGTTACTTTAGGAAAAGGAGATCATGGAGAGAAATAGGCCTCCTAACTAAGGGTTTTTATTGATGAAGCCATGGCGGTCAATGCCAGCAATAAAACAGTCTCTTAGAATTATTATGCCCTGAAATCCGCAGGCAGTGAGTCATTCTGGCTGGCTGAGTTTTCTAAATAGTTTATGATTGACCTTTTAAAATATCAGAACATAAAAATTATATATGTACATGCATATTTATGCAAATGCCTAGCGCCAACATCTCGTTTGTGCTCTGTTGCATATCTTAGTGCGTCATGTATACAATGAAGTGCACATGGGATGAAAAAGTGGTGTTCACGGCACCCAGGGTCCCCACCTTTGATCCATTAACGTCCTTAGGGCCTGTCTCATGAAATGATTTTAGTTTGCTAGTTTCTATTAGTTCTCTTCCTAGTAGTTTTAGGGAGTTGTCTGAATGGTTTATTTACTCCATTTTTGCTAATTTTCTACTTAGGATTTTCCAGGACATTAGAAATGACACCATCAAATGTGTGAGATGTGAATGTGAAATAACACACGAGCTCCAGAGAAGAACCTCAGATAGACGCCCTGTGGGTGAATGGGGGTGCAGACTGTGGGTAACAGCTCAGGGGCACCGGCTCACTCCGTGGGTCTGTGATTTAGTCAGGCAGCTGCATTCTGGGCTTTTTTGCAAAGCCTGCAAAACAAGGGTATGTGGCAGTGATCCCTGAGGTCACAGTGTCATCAGTGTTCTACGAATTTGTGTGGGGGAGGGTGCCGTGGTGCCAGCTACTGGGACCTGAGGCCAGAATGGTGTGGCCAGCAGGAGACAGAAGAAGCTGGACCCCAGCCCTGCCCCTCTGCTCTCCCTGCAGCATGTGTCTCTTCCCTGTGGGCCTGTGACGTCAAAATGAAATGGGCTCCAATAGCATCTGCCACCATGTCTGTTGGTCTCTATGCAGAGCCTTCAGGAACTGAAGGCAGGGTCAGCAGCCTAGATCCCCGAGGTCAGGTGGCTGAAGCCTGTGGTGTGGGCATGGGAACAGTGTCCACTCACACCCTGCTGGCAAGCACTTTATTTGCAAACACAGAACAAGTTGCAGGAGCATCTTTGACTTTAAAACAGAGACCCTGGGCAGACTGGCACAGGTAGGGTGTTTGTGCAGGAAGCTTTTTCTGTCCCTTTTTCTCTTTTCCCTTTACTCAGTTTTTCTCTTTGGAAGGAGAGGCATTCAGGGACTCTTGATACTTCCAGAATGCCTTTTGTTTTGTGTGAAACTTCATTTCACGAGAACTGAATGGCTTGCACTCGCTGGGAAAGGTCTCAAGTACAGAGCCGTAATAACGTGGTTCCCTCTTTACGGGGTCATTAACATGAAACAGCTGCTCTTCCTGTCGAGGTGTGTTCCTATGACACATAGTCACTGAATGGCTTCTAAACACTTCCCAAGGCTGTGTGCGGGGGCGTGCTCGCCGTGGAAACCGAGGAGTGGCGTCACTCGTCCAGGCGGCCCGTTGGCAGCCTTCGGTGAAGCGGCTCTAGCAGGAGCGGGCACCTTGGCGAGCGCGGCGGGTGTGCTGGCGCTGCTCACTCGGCTGGCCGTGCCCATGGAGGAAACGGGCGCTGCTCACCACACTGCTGTTTCCCTGGTTGATCTCAGGTCCGGCGTCCCCCTGTTCTCTGAGCCCTCCATTTGGGAGACAGGTGTGCAGCGAGCCTGACCTAGCGGGGGTTCTGGGTACGTGCCTTCCACACCTGCCGTGTCTCTGTGGCGCAGCAGCTGGCCTTGCCTTCCGGGCCTCCTCAGCACTCAGAGCTGCTGGCCAGCGCTAGGCTGTCCCCTACGGCTGGAGCCAGACCTGCCTGGGACAGTGAGAGATGCTGTGGGTCCGAGGGGTGACGGCATCTTGGACTCATCAGGAAACCGCGCACCTCCAGTTACTCAGCAGTTCTGCAACTTCCGTGCCTTCGCTCAGGTCACACAGACAGGACTAGCTCTAGGAGGCAAAGTCAGTAATTTTGGGTTAAGAAAAGTCAAACCAGAGGGAAGGATGCAGCTGGGCCTCTCGGGTGACCTGGGTGAAGTGAACAGTGGCCCAGTCATCGGAGCCGTGGAGCGTGGCTTTATGAGAGCCACTCTGCTGGTATAAGAACACGTGTCTCCCTGGATGGGGGCAAAAATAGTAACACTGACAATATGTACCGTTTTTGTTTAGGGTTTTTAGTGGCAGTTAAGTATTATATGATCGTTATAGAGAAAGAAGGCAGAGAAGCTAAATAAATAAATAAATAAATAAATAAATAAATAAATAAATAAAATCCCCCGGCCCGAGAACAGTCTGAACAGTTTCAGTTATCCTTGCAGGCTTTTTCTGATGCAGACAGGTGTACGTAAACGGACCCTCTGTTGCTCTGGCTCTGAACCTGTCTGTGCAAGATCATCCTCCAAGTCCCTGTCGAGCTGCATTGGCCATTTAGAGCCGTAATGTCAGTGAACACGGTGCGCCTGGGTGTACAAGGAGGTGCCAGGCCCTCGCCAGCCACTGTCAGGCAGGGAGGTCATGGCTGTGTTTACTGTTTCAGAGAAAAACCTGTGGACTTGATAGAAGCACAGTGATGAGGGACTTAAATTTCTTACCCTCTCAGATCAGATGCAGGATACCCGAAAAATGACTCATGTCAAAAGTATTAGTGAACATTCATTTCAACAAACAAATCTTTACTTGAAAAGCAAATTATTGTAA